AAAAATGGGGAAGGCAGGTTATAGCCATGATGGTAGCTCGGTGAAGCCTCCATGTTCGGGGGCAGTCTATCTCCTCATTATCATTATTATTAGTAGTAGTATCAAGAGAGGACTCTGGAGAAAAAAAGCAATAATGCTGGGAAAGGTGGAGGGAAGTCGGAAGAGAGAAAGGCCACATGTCAGATGGATGGACTCTGTTAAGGAGGTCATGGGGATGGGTTTGCAGGATTTAAGCAGAGCAGTGGAAGACAGGGGTCTTCTCTTCTTGGAGATGTCTCATCCATAGGGTCACCATGAGTCGAGATCGACTCGAGGGCAGTTAGCAACACAATTAGTATCATTAGTATTAGTAGTAGTATTTGTAGTCCACTCTTTCCCCAGAACTGGAACCCAGAGCATAGTTGAATATATCTGGGCATTTAAGCATTGAATTCCTCTTGAGAAATCAATCAACCCAACATTTTATCCCAAGTAAGGTAAATTTGTTGAAATCATGGGGGTTAATATGAATAGGGTCTATTCATTGGCTCCCAATGGTGCTCCCAGTATTGGGAATGGTGGCTCCCAATATTAACAGTATGACTAAAAACATAGAAAAGGGATACATTAACGTAGGATTGCTGTAATGTTTCTTCAAGGAGGCTACCTTTCAGGCTTCAGGGATGGAGGGCTCTCTCAGGAAGCGGGGGCCAGCTCTTGGCAGGAGCCCCCCAAGGCAAAACGTGCTCCATTTTGTAGGTTGAGGGGTGCTTTTTGACTTAGGGCCACCTTTTGTTGTTACTGGCTGCCTTCAAGTCCTTTCTAACTTGTGGCCACTCCATATCATGGGGTTCTCTTGGTAAGGTTTCCTGGTTTCCCCCCCATTTCCATCCTCTAAGGCTGAGAGAGTGTGACTCGCCCAAGGTCACCCAGTGGGTTTCCATGGCAGAGCCAGGATTCGAACCCTGGTCTCCAGAGTCGTACTCCAGCACTCAAACCACTACACCATGCAGAGTCTACATGGGGTTTTCTTGTCAAGTTTGGGTCAGAGGGGGTTTGTCATTGCTTTTCCCTGAAGCTGAGAGAGTATGGCTTGCCCAAGGTCACCCAGTGGGTTTCATGACCAAGAGGGAATTGAACCCTGTTCTCCAAAGTCATAGTCCAGTGCTCCAACCACTATGCCTTATAGCCTCCTTCTTATTAGTCTCTATAGCCGGAGGTAGCAAAGGGCACTAAGGGTGTGTTCTGTGGTGTGAGGACCAGGGGGTCCCTCTAGTCTTAGTCCTTCATTTTTTCCCCCTTAACTGGTCACCTCTTTGAGGTAGATGGTGAAAGTCCAGTGAAAAAAGATGCTGGTGCCTGAGCAACTGGGAGGAGGCTGGTCAAAGATGATATAGATTTAAAAAAAAGAAAAGAAAAGGAGGTTAACCCACTGGGTGCCCTTGGGCAAGTCACACTCTCTCAGCCTCAGTGGGAGGCAATGGACACTCCCCCTCTGAAGAAATTTTACCCAGACAACCCTGAGATTGGTTCTCCTTAAATCCCATTTTGGGAGAAAGGTGAGATATAAATCCCCTAAATAAACTTAATTGGCTTGAAGGCACACCACAGGCACACAAGTGTGTCAGCATCCATCTCTATTGAAATTAAAAATAAATCAATACATCGGTGATTAAAGATTTATGTCCATTTTATGTCTGCAAAATACATATGGGCATTTAAGCATTGAATTCCTCTTGAGAAACCAGTCAATCCAACATTTAATCCCAAGGTGGGTAAATTTGTTGAAATCAATGGGGCTTAACATGAATGGTGGCCATTCAGTCAGCTCTATTTGTTTCAATAGGCCTATGGTAGGATGAGCATTGGGTTTTGCCCAAAATTTGCTTGCTGGAGCCCCCTCCCTCTTCAGTCCTACCAAATACCTTCAAACTATCACTTTGTGTGATTTTAGACTAGGTTCTTATTTCCAAGGTATTTTTTGGAAGGTGGGGGGAGGCACATTCTTTTGAGCCTGACAACCTTCTACACATGCAAGGCAGGAAGAGTTATCACTGACTCTTGTCTAGGGAATAAAGAGTGACTATTAACTTGTGATGGTGTAGGTTTCCATTTACCATGACAAAAGCACTTTCTGACAAGGAACAATAGACAGGAGTGGTAAATGACAGAGATCTTTCTTGAAGTGAATTAGGCACCATTGTTTCCAATGGAGGCATCATGTTCACTTGATCCTGCTTAATCAGGCTGGCATCTATAATTGTCTTGGGTTTGGGTTGGATTCAGACTTCCTAGAGTAGATCTGTTGAAAGCTGATAATTAGCCATAGCTGATAATTTTTTTAAAGATGGTTTTTAGTGGGTGCGCTCTATATATTTCTCATACTGGATCCAACCTTTATAAAAAATAACTGGATTTATCTAGAAATAATGCAGCTTGTCCACACAGCAGAAATAATGCAGTTTGACACCACTGTAACTGTCATGGCTCCATCCTGTGAAATGCTGAGATTTGTAGTTTGGTATTTAGCCTGGTCTGTTAAGAGAGGTCTGGTGCTGTGTAGGATACATCATGGCAGTTAAAGTTATGTCATACTGCTTTGTTTCTGCAGTGTGGATATATCCTTAAAGACACTAGCCATTTGATCTTGGAAGCTAAGCGAGGTCAGCCCTGATTAGTACTTGGATGGGAGACTACCAATGAGTATCAGGTGCTGCTGACTATATTTCAGAGGAAGGAACTGGCAAAACCACTGCTGATGATTTCTTGCCTAAGAAAATGCTGTGAAACTGGGATGTGAAGGCACACGAGACAGTCAAGCATTGTTTCCTTGAAATATATATATTCCTGAATATGTATTCCACGTAAAGTACTATAAGTTATTAATAAATTGTTATAAGCTTTTTTGTTTATATAAAGACAGCCTGAATTTCGCTCTCTGAATAGAGATGCCTTTGTAGGAAATTAAGTACTTCAGCAAGGTTAGAGAGCCAATGTTATATAGTGGTTAGAGCGTTGGCGTTAAGACTCTGAGAAATCAGAGTTTCAACTGCTGCTCAGCTGTCAAAACCCATTGGGTGACCTTGAGGAAGTCACACTCTCTCAGCCTCAGAGGAAGGCAGTGGCAGATTTCCACTGAACAAATCTGAACAAGAAAATGGTTTGATAGATATGTTTCAGGGGTCACCATATGTTGGAAATGATTTGAAGTATTTCAAAATTATGAAACTTTCCACTGAGCCAGAAATATTCTGCACATAGTGGATAGCAAGCAAAAGACAGCTAGCAAGTTAAATAATAACCATCAAACCAAATCAAGTCAGTATTTATGGTGTTGATGCTAAGCTGTAATCGGTACAACGTGCTTTAACCCACATTTACTTTTCCAGAAGGGTTTTACAGACTACATTTGAAATTACCCCCAAATGCACCTTCTCTCGTTCTTTCTTTGCTTATGACATGCATCCTGATCCTACCATTAATTTGCTGACCTTTAGTGGAGTCCCATATCTGCTGCCTGAGCTCTCTGTCTACTTCTGACTTGTGCTCAGGCTAACTTTGGATTCATAGAAAGAGGAGGCTGCTTTATCCCAAGTGGCCCATGTAGTTCAGTTTAGATGGGTTTGTGCCAGAGATGCCAGGGACTGAACCTGTGGTCTTATGTTTGCAAGGCAGAGGCTCTACCACTGTGCCACAGTCCTCTCAGCAAAGGATGCTCCCTGGAAAGTAAGTCCCACTGAATGGAAGTGGGATTTTACCTCCAGTAAATTGCAATCCTTTGCACTGGTTGTGAAGGGGTTTGCTTTTGAGTAAGCCTTCATGAGATTAGCCAGCATGGCAGTGACCAGAATGAATTATTTATTTGAAAGTAATAAACAGTTTCCAAGAAGATTTTTCAGTGATTATTTTTCTTTTATCCTTTCTTTAGAATTGGAACAAAGTCAAGAGCATTTAATTGGAAACACATTCCAATTAAGACGTGTTTTTATAAGAAGTGTATGTTTCGGATTGGAGTGCCACCCTTGAGCCTGTTTTTTTCTTTACTGTTCCTTATTGTTCCCCCATCACAGCAAAATATACTCCTATCCTCATAGCAAAAATAACTGTTATTTCTTGTGTAGAAAGTTGTTTCCCATCACATCAGCTCTTTCTTTGGATTGAATTATGTGAATGACAATGCAAGTTTTGAAAGCACACAGTGCTCTTCTTTAGACACAATGAAACCGCACTTGCTGGTTAGTTATGAGGTGCCAGGCTTTGCATGTAAAGAATTCTATGTGTCTCAGCACAGTACTTTTCCTCATGTATGTTTAGTCTCTTTCATATTTGACTTACATTTAGATAATTATATAAACTTCTTATTATCTTTCTTCCACATAGGAGGAAAAAGTCAGAACTTGACATACTAGAAATCCCATCCATACCAAATCCTTTCCCAGAGCTTTGCTGCTCTCAGTTTACATCTGTTTTGTCAGCCAGCCTGCTGCCTAAGGCAAATCCCAGGATAAAACAGGTAAGCCTCTCTCAAGTCTAACAGCAGAACTATGAAAGAAAAGAATGTGTGTCCCTCAAATCTCAAATCCTTAAGAAAAATGCACCAGTCTATAGAAATGAACCCAATGAAAATCTTCCACGATTCTGCTTCCTCTGTGCCCCCATTACTACACTAATGCTTTAGTTGTCTGTTCACTGTCAAAGGGAAGTTTCAGACTTCACAATGATCACTTTAACAGTCTATTGACTATTCTTTTTGTACGTGCTTGTTTAGGGTTATCCTTAACTTGATGTCAACCTCTCCTACTTCCTTCTCCCACACAAACCTCTGATTCCTTTTTGCCAGGGCATTTCTCATGCCTTGAGCAGTCTCCCCCTTTTTCATACCCTTTTCTCTAGCATCATGATCATATATTTCTACAGCAGAGTTTCTCTTGGATTAGTACCGTATATTGTTATCTTTCCTATGGAAATATGAAGCTGTCTAGTACAGAATAGGACCATTAGCGTGTCTGTACTGATTACTTTGGCTGGTGGCAGGAGCAACATTCTGAAGAATCAGCTGGAGCTTTTTCTAGCTCTGAATTTTCTGATCCAATTTCAGAAAATGTCTGTCTGGCCTGGCCTTCTCCAGCTGGCCTCCTTCAGATGTTTTGAACTGTAACATCTGTTCCACCTGACAACTCATCCTGATGCAAGTTGCAGTATAAAACATCTACAACAGAGATGGCTAACCTATACCATGTGCTACCCTTAGACCTTGGGAAACTGGCTACTCCTGTTCTAGAGGACACCTTTTTGGAGAAAATGAACTAGTAGTCCAGTGTTCTGCATCCTGTAGTGGTCTTGCAGATTGATTATTTGAGCATTTATTTATACCCCATCCTTCATCCAAAGAAGCTCCCAGAGCAGTTTACAAATTGTTATTTGTTAATGTAATTGTTAATTTCCCTGTCCTCAGATTTACAATCTAATAAGACACAAAACACAAGGAAAAGGGGATGGAAGTGAGGATGAGGATTAAGTTCAGCAAGCACTGGCTGCTCTTCTCTCCCTCAGAGGATAGAGCAGTAGCATTTGGCATGGAAGGAGGGCTTCTCACCAGCTGCTCTGTCCAAGACACAATGGAACTGTTCCTGGCTATTCTCCATCAGAGGCCATAGCAGTTGCAGTTGGCATGGAAGGAGGGCCTCTAGGTTGCTTACAGGAAGGCCATAAGCAAGCTTTCTAAACAGTAGACCTCTTCTGCTTGCTTTCTCCAGCAACAGCCTGGAGATTTCCTGTAGTCACCATGAGTAGAAAGTTACGGTAGCTGTATCTTTTATGAATTTGTCTAGTTTCCTTTTAAAGTCCTCTAGGCAAATTGTCACCACATCACAGCCTATTCCATAAAATGGGAGGGAGGGGGGACTGCATTGGGGCAGGACCCAGTTCTTTTCTCCATGACTGACTGTACTGCCAGATTCAATTAAAACCACTCCCAAAATGTTAGGAAACCTACTTCTGGTTTTCAGTTCTAGGTGTTTTTTTTTTAAGGGGGGGCTGTTTTTGATTTGATGGAAACAGACACTCTGTTTTCACATATCAGTGATGTGTTCAATTTTAAAAAGAGAAAAATGAGTACAAATGGCCACATTGCCCCCTGTAGTTATTCACTGAAGTAATGTGAGATTTTCATCATTACTCAATCATTATTGACATTGAAGTATTTAAGCCAATGACTTTGAATTTTTCAATATAAAATAGTAAAGAATTATGGACAAGGAATTCGAGTTTAATGAATTAAAGGCCTTTACAGACTGCCAGAAGTAATGCAGCTTGAGGCCACTTCACTGCCCTGGCTCTGTGATAGGGAATCATAGTAACTAGTTTATTGTGGCACCAGAGCTATCTGACAGAGAAGACTCAATGTCTCAGAAAAAACTACAATTCCCATGATTCCCTAGCACTGAGCCAGGGTAGTTAAAGTGGCCTCAAGCTGCATTATTTCTGGCAGTCTGTAAAGGCCCTAAATCTATCTTAGCATGACCTAGGCAACCACAGGCTAGCTTTTAGCGAATGTTTCTAGATGTCATAATATGGATGGATAAATATTAACAAACCCATTACATATAAGTGGAAAGTCCCCCACTCAGCTATTTGAGATAAGTAGTTACATTTGATTTTTGAAAGGGTTGAAAAAGCCCAACCTCCAAATGAATGGGTTAGTTGAGGAAGTAGAACATATGTTCCCAAGACTCCCCTTGGGAGTAAAAGAGGTGAACAAATTACATCAACTGAAGGTACAGAAAATATGAAACCCAATGTACAATTGTAGAGGAGGTGTTTGTAAGATACTTACATCTATAGGACAATACTTGGTATATAGTACTCTGCATGCATATTCAGTTTTCTAGTGGAGTTTGACTCTTAGGATACTATTGAATTACATAGAACTTCTTCCTTAGAAGTATGTGTAAAACTACAGTGCAGATTGTATAGGATATAATTACATTGTGACTTCATATTTTATAATGAACCTCAGTGTAAAAAGCTGTTGCAGGTGCACTGATGTGGTGAACTGTGTTGTATGAACAGAGGCCTCCACAGAAACAGCAGCAGACTTACATGACAGAATCCAAAATGCACTTCACTGTGATACCTTTAGAAGGTCAGCCAAAAGGCCAAAAATATATTATACTAGGTTTCAAAATTTGCTGGTTTCTTCATAATTCAAGGATGTTAAAAATCATACAGGATAAGAAAAGTGACAATGTTCAGATCACAGGCCTGCATTGTGTAAGAATTTTGCTTGTGATTAAGGTGGACTTGCAGAGAGTTAATGTTGTTTTGTGCACTCAGAAAAGTTGAATATGTACTTGTGAAGCTGCCTATAAAATGTGATCCATGCACAACTATCCTATGCTACAGCCTTGGAGGCTCTGTGGTTGAAATATGATACACTGGCATATTGGTGGGATTTTGTTAAGTTGTAGTCCTAAAGAGTAACTTTCCTGAGTGCTGAGCCAATGTTATGATAAGATCTGTTCAAACAGTACTGTACTGTCTCTTTGGATGCATCTACACTGTAAAAGTAATGCAGTTCAACACCACTTTTAAGTGCCATAGCATCATCCCATGGGTTCTTGGCATTTGTAGTTTTACAAGGTCTTTAGCCTTCTCTGCCAAAGAGTATATATGCTTCACCAAACTACAAATCCCAGGATTCTGTAGGATGGCACCATAGCAATTAAAGTGGTGTCAAACTGCATTATTTCTACAGTGTAGAGGTACCCTTTGCTTCATGATTGTAGGCATCTCCCACCCCTTGCATTGAATGGGGCACTCAAAACTGGGAGGTGTGAACTACTGGATCTGTTCGGCAGGATATAGCCTAAACCCTGTTGTACAGGTTTCAGGAGGATATGTTTCAGCTTACTTTACTATCGCTTTGACCAGGAGACCTATCCAGAAAATGAATCACATTGAGTGTATTTACTTGACCCTGAAGACAGTCTGGGGACTCTGTTAGTTTACCATCCACTCCGTTGTTTAACAGATTCCCTGGCCGAGCTGACGCAGCTGGTCTTGGAGCTGGTCTTGGAGTCTCCCAGACTTCTTAGTCTGGGGACGTCAACATCCCTTTCAAGTCCGGCTCATTAGATATGAAAAGTGTAGCTCGGGAGTGCATGACTTCCATGACAGCCATGGGCCTGTCCAACACATTGTGCTAGTAATACACTTGATGTGGTCTTTAGTATGGACCAGGAACATCTGTGGCTAGAGGTAATCCAAACTTCTGCCCTGTCATGGAGGGATCATTTTCTGGTCAAGGTTGGACTGAAGGCTACTACCCATATCCCTCTCGGGGGTGGAGGACCCATTAAAA